AAGGATCATCAAGGAGTTGTGGAAATGATATTGAGTGAACTGCACCTCAGCTGTCAAAAATGAACCTGCGGAGTCTTCGAGCAGAGCTTTGTCAAACTTGATCATCGGAAGCCGCAACTAACTAACTACATATTAACAATCCACTTAAGAGATCTTAGGAGGAGAAACTCGTTTCGAAGCGCCTGGCTTCAGCCAAGAACCCCGGATTGGGAGCAGCAAGAGCTGGGAAGTCACACTTCGCACGGCAATCCCGGCAGGTTTTCTGCTGGGCAAAAGGGCGATTTTTCCCCCCTGCTCGATGCTAACTGGCAAGTCACCCTCTCCTCCCGGATTTCTCTCTCCCGCCCGCTCCTGCTTCGCAGCATCCTCACTTCCCTTGGCCGCCACCATCCTCCCGCAGCACGCCCTTCCCGCCGCCGCCGTCCTTGGACCGAGGCTCAAAAAGCAGCAAAGCCCGGGCGAAGCGACGCTTCGGGCCCGCCCCGCGCAGCCGAGAAAAGGCGGCGGGTTCTTCAGGTTCCCCCCTTTCTCCGGCCAAGGACTTCGGCGAACGGCAGGGGAGGCTTAGGAAACCTCCCGCGGAAGGTCCGCTTCTGCCTCCTGGGGCTGGCAAGACCGTCCCCGGCGAACATGGCTGGAGGCTCGCCCCGCGCTCCCTTTGTTGCTCTGCCGCCTCTCTTTCCCCCGCACTGTACCTATTTTGATCCGGACGCTCTGAAACACCCGGAGCCCCTCTTCTTCCACCGCCATGCTTGCAGCCGCGACGGAGAGCAAGCCCGGCTCCGCTGGGCTGAGAGGTGGAGGTGGGGGGAGAGAGAGGCGCCGCCGGGCAAGTGCAATGCGCCACGCGCCCCGAACTAGAGGGGGAAAAGACGCACGACCGCCCCCACTTCGCCCCCGCTGGGGAAGACGAGCGAACACATCTCCAGCAACGGCCGTCCCCGCCCCCCGCCCTCTTATTGGATGACAGCAGGCCGGGTGGCCCTCCCCATTGGGCGTGTCCCGGCGGCCCGCTCCCCATTGGAGGAGAGGAGAAGAAACAGGGAGAGATCTTGTCGCGCAAACCAAACAGCTGGAGGGAGCGGACGAGTTTGCGAACGGCTCTGATAGACACCGGAGGAAACGGCTTTGGCGGCAATGCCTTGACCGGCGGCCTGCCTTGCCATCTGTCGCGGCTGCAGCCTTCAAACAGCTTCCTCGTCTACGCGGCTCCTTTATATTTAAGGGAGCATCCCGAATTAGAAGCGCGCTTTTATCCCGCGGGGTGGTGCGCGAATATCTTTCAGAGCCACTTTGTTACTGTATCGCTTAAAGGGAAAAAAAAATAAGCATATGCGTTTAGTGATGCACTGGAACTATCTCTCCAGATTTGTGCTCAAAAATTGATCTCTCCTACAAAGACCCACACTTGTCCTCTTCCTCCCTTCGGAAGTTCATGTTAACAGCAGAATAGTCAGAGCATCTCTGGGGTCTTCCTGGGTACCAGATATAAACGACAACCAAACTGGTTGCCTTGTTTGAAAAGGACCTGGAACCCCCGGTGCTTGTTTTAATTGCTTAAATAGTTAAATACTGCAGAGGGCCACAGAGCGTAAGTGGTATACTACTGATAACTCCTTTCTTTACAAAGTTTGATTGAGTGTTTTTAAATTTTATTCTCAGTATGGCCTGTATGATGACCCTCTAGTCTTTTATTTGTTATATTGAAAATGTCTTACACTCCACACTAAGTTGTGATTTAACATCCTAAACCAAAAACAAATCACATTATAATTTAGTCCGATGCCTCAGCCTTGCTTATTTTGTGATGTCCTCTGTTAAGAATCCTTATAAAAGGACTTACTCATAAACTAGACTTGAATATGCTTACTCTACCTTTACAAATTTTAGTATGCTCTCACCATGAAAAATGCTATAATTAAAAACATCTACCTTAACTGTATTTTTACTAACTTTTTTTAATAGCCACCAACATTTGTTACAATTAAGCAAACACCGTATTCATCTCACGGGTCATTTGCATAAAACATTGAGGCACACACTTATTCTGGTAAACAATGCTTATCCACCCACCCACCCCAAAAATAAGATAACATTTTCTTTTTTAAAAAAAGACTTTTAAATTGTGTGTTGTGTTAAATTAGCATTAGCATTAGAAAATAAAGTGGAAAAAACTGTTTTTCTTCTTTTTCTGTACATTTTTCTTTGTAGAAGTCTACCTTAGATTCAAGGTCATTTTCCTTTCTGGTAAAATAGAGCTTTTAAAATCATGTACCAATAGATAAAGCAATTCAAACAATCAGCAATTTAAAAACATGAATGATTCATATAGCTGACATTGGCTGGCTTCTGTTAGGTGTACACTGGATGAAAATACAGGGTTGTTGTTACACAATATCCTGGGAATTCTAACTCTTCCAGCTTCTCAATTCAAATAAACCAGATTACCCAGCAAAGTTGTTTGCCAGTGATTAAGCAAGAGCGGGTAATTAATAACATACGCAGCAGTTATCAACCAGATTCTATCCTCTCTTCACAACTAGAGGAGAGATCTCACCATCATCATGTGAGATAGGTGGCAAACAAATTTAATGAATAAAATAAACTTTATATTGGGATTACCTTCAGGATGTATCAGAAAATGACTTATCCAAAGGTGCTGTTGTCTGTGGATTGCCTATCCTGCTTAAGGTGGTGCATAACAAAAAAAGGATCTAGTGCCAGCAAATTTTAATTTAACTATATCTTCAATTATTTTCTAAAATCCTGTCCTGCTGGGACAAATGATAAAATTTTGTTTTACACATCAGGTTATATTATGGTGTGTCTAATCATGATTTATTGGATAAGCCACAATGTCTGCCTTCTCAAGAGGTAAAGTTATGGTTTATAAATCATGCATCTATCAAACCCAAGTAGGTTAGTAGAAAGTGTGGATTTAGCCAGAGTAAATACACAGAAAGCGTTTAACATTTGTATTGTGGGGATGGGGAATGAGATTGTAATCTTGTTTGTTTATTAAAGCAAAGAAATGGGCGGGAAATAATCAAATATTTTGGAGCTACAGCAATAAAATAAACTGTTGCAATGTCATCAGCACAATACGCGCTTAAAAAATAAATTTGAAGATTGTCATAATCATGCAGCCAACATTTTTAAAGCAACCATTAATATACTTGCCTGGCCATTGTCCAGAACCTGGTAACAGAGCCTGAGATCACATTTTGCTAACCCAACAACTAATAGGTAACATCCCCAGAGATGATATTAAAAGGAAACTCTAAAAATGGAACAAAGCTTCCTGTAAAGCTAGAGGCAGTTTAATGTAGGCCAGTGTTCCTATCTCATTTTCCTTCTATAGATGAGACTGTGCTCCTGCTAGTGGGATCATTTGATATTTGTCCTCTAGGAGCACTGAAAATAAAATGCTGAAAAGTGCTAATCTGGTGGCTCTTCTACTGTTATTTGAGGTAAGGAAAAAGAATCGCTAATTTCCCTAGGTATACCCCAACTTGTTTGCATCCCAATGTCACCCACATGCTTCCTTAGTAAGAGTTTATTCTCACCCAGTATGACAATCTAGGCATATGCCCTAAGATACTGCAGCAGTTGCCTTCTCCCACATCCATCTAGCTAATTAGTAATATCTTCCCAATAGTCAATATTGCTGTCTTCCTTACATTCAAAGACACCAGAGTGAGGGTTCAGGAAACAGTTTTAATGATGAAGTCCTTTTATTGGGAAGTCATACCAACTATACATTAAGCTACAATATAATTTTTTCTGCCAAGATGTGATGTCTACTAAATTCAAATGTAAAGATTTCTAATAAAATTATTCAATTGTTCTGGATCAATCAGATTCAGGATATATTTCAAAAAGAAGTTATAAGCAATGGAGAGCCAGTATTGTCTAGTGGTTAATACATCAGAGTACAAACTAGAGAGTTTATAAGTACTAGTCTTGCCTTAGCCACAAAGACAGCTTGGACCAACCACTCTCTCTTAGCCCACAATGTCAAGCTTGGGCCCCAAGACAGTTGGTCAATTCATTGCAACCAATAGATCAATACTTAGTTGATCTGAAATAAAGTGGACCCTCTACTTGTGAGAAAATAAAAGAAGAAGAAAAATAAAGCAACTGCAGCAGGAAATAGAGGAGAGAAAAGCTATTTGTTCTAAGAAGGCATGATTGGGTATCTTTTTTTTAAAGGAAAACATTTAAGAAAAACAAGAAATTTTGGTATGGACTCATTCAACAGATCAAGCATTGTCTAACATAAAATTTACTTATTGGCCCCTATTTAGGAGGCAACATAAAGTAAAGGAGTTTGTTTATCTCTGCACCATTCTCTATTCTAGAAACAATTAGATGATTAAGTCAAATAATTTAGATGGCACCCTAAAGGGATTGTTTCATTGTTATTTACAATCTTAGAACTTCAAATTATATGGGATTCTAAAGCCTAAATTAGACAACAATGAGCATTCTACAAAGTACTGTTTTCTTCTGTGACTCATTCCTATCAGGCAGAAACCACTTCCTTTCAATGAACTACTGTACATGAGAGGTTTCCCTTGAGAGGAAGTAAAGAGATTTTGTAATTACAGTACCTTAACATAATGGCAACAGCTAAAAAACCAGTTCACACTTAATTGAACTAGTACACATTTCCAGGTATTAAGACTTTTTAAACTTAATTGAACTAGTACACATTTCCAGCTATTAGACCTTTTTAACCAAACAACCAACATGTCCAAAAGGTACTTTTTTCAAGAGGCAACTGGACTTTTTGGTTTTTCTTTGAAGACACAAAAAAGTAAATGACCATCTGTCTTCAAGGAGTATAAATCTTTCCATTCCCTATGGTCCAGTCAGAGCTGAAGAAGCTTCTTGAATGAGAAGCAAAACATCTTCAACGAAAAACCAGAAAATCCAGTTGCCTTTTAAAAAAAGCACCTTTGGGTCAACCATGACCTGGATGACTGAGAATCTCTATAGACAAACAACCATCATGGAATGTTAGATAATTGCATACACACTTGGTACAAAAATATAGATTGAAATAAAGCATGGACATTGATAATTTTTCTCTCACTATTGTTTCCAAGAGGATTCCCACATCCTCATATCACTTCTATCTCCATTGTGTTACAGAGGCAATGCATTTCATCCATCTGCTGGTAAATTGCAAATCTGTTTTTATTTGGAATATTCTTCTTTATGTCATTTTAGGAGATCTAAGTGAATATATATGATACAAAGAAGCAAACTAAAAAGGTGTACAACCTTTCCTGTATTTCCTGTGTTCACATAACATGCTAAACTGTGGTTAACTCTGATTTGCTAATGCAACATACATTTTATAAAACTATAAACTCAATAGTACTTGGCACTCCCTCTGTAGTCCGAAACCATCCTTAAAGTGAATGAAGCAATTTCAAAAATTAGCTTCTGAATTTACACCAATTTTTCCTATTCAAGTGCCAAAGGGAATGTATTGAGTCTTTCCCGCCTTAAATTTCCTCCAAAATAGACAACAGATCCCATCCAGTGTAGTGCCATCCATGTTTGCTTAATCAAACAAGAATAATATTACAGCATAAAGTCAAGTCTACATTGACCTGTATTTCTCGAGCCAAATTGTGGAAAAATATGGAAACTTCTTTGATCAGTCAGTGTTTATTAACCTCTCATTTGGCCCTTCCATGAGGTACTTCTGAAAGCGCTACTCAGCCCTCAAGGTCATTTATCAAGCAACGTGCCAACTATTAGGGTGCCAATTAAGACTGACCTTTGCACTGCTCCTGTTCAGCTTCTTCATAAAGGCAGTACCCAGGCCATCTAGATTTTCGTGTATACATGATACATGATTGTCAGAAAACACATTGCCAACTTGTTTTATACCAACAGTGAAGTAATTGTCTGGAAATTCCATATACACCTGTAAAAAGCATTGAAGGCATTTGCTCAATATTGTAAAGAAAATAATGTGTAAATAAACTACCATAAAATCAAAACCACTTTTGGGAGGTTTTGCTTTTGCTTGTTGGAGTATGAATAGGAAGAAAACTCAGCAGTATCCACGCTTCATATACCTGGTGGCTAGGTTCCAGGTCTGTGATGGCTAATATTAATGATTTGTTTAATAAATCAAAATTGGCTAGGTTCATCATATGTGAAGCACAAACAGATGTACCACATTATGGACTGAGCCTGAGGTAATGTTCAAACTCACGCATGAAAAAAAAACCTCTTACACAATTACAATTACAAACATTTACAATCAGAAGTCAGAAAATGTGGCTCAGATCCTGCTTTCAGCTTGCTAACATGGGATCCTGAAGGCTACCCAGAGGAGGTGAAGACAAAAAGGTTAATTTTTTGTTCCTCCCGCCCCCCCCGCCCCAATTAGGAGAGAATCAGAAAGTTTAAAAAAAATCAAAATTCCACTCTCTATCAAAAATAGAGATGGTGCAACATATAAATATGCACATTTCTGCATTACATGTAAATACAAAAATGGAGTGAACATGCAAGAAATTAATGGTTATTTTGAATATCAGAATTTGAACATGAATGAAACGGTAGCTCTGTTAAGAGAATACCACCAGGCTCAGAAGCCAATTCTGGCTCGTGAACTGCTGCACACTTATATGGCCATTCCTTTGTTCAGGGAATCTAATGGCTGCACATTACAGGTGCTAAGAATCCAACGAGGGGAGATGAGGAGGGGGTGGGAAGAGAGAGTTGAGGGTATTAACTATCCTTTTGAAGATATAAACTGTGAATCTGATCTTTCAGATGTGGAATTTTATTAGCTAGAATAAGTAAGCTCTAATGTAAGACACTGTTCTAAATATGCTGTAATGCACTGTATATATTTCTTGTCTATTCATCACATCAAATCCACCATTAATGTTCTGAGAAACAAGAGAGAAAGAGCAAGGAGAAAAAAAAAACATCAGCCTCAGCATTCTTGACAGGCATTTAATCTCTTCCTATAAAGCTTTCTCATTCCACCAGACAGATGCAATAAATAAACTGAAGACACATGGCCAGGAATGCCATCCTGTGCTACAGGCCAGATCTAAAACAGAACGGAAATATCCCCCCAAGTGTGTGGAGAGAAGAGAAGGAGGAAGAGGCAGAACTTGGCAAATTATGAAAATGATTGCCCAGAGACAAAACTGAAATGGAATCTGATCCCAATCTAGAAACTCAGAATTTAATAATTAGGGTAATGGTTGGAATATCAAATTAGGCCTGAAAAAATAAAAAATAACATCTATCTAATAGTAAAAATAATATCTACAGCAAGGCAGACTTCTGCTGTTTTACCAGTGAATTCATGCTAGTTCTTATAGCTGGGTTTTACATATTATTCATAGTTTAATGGGTAAATCTCATAACTATTTGGGTCTACAGAACATTTTAAGTCATACTCTATTTTTAAAGCAGAATGGCTTGTTTGCTATGTACAACATAACTAAACTATATAATGACTTAATACAACATGGGAACCCTATTCTATAGAGCTGACAAAATAGGAATCACTAATTTTCAGGCTAGAAAGGACTTTTTAATAAACATATTCCTTTTGCTCATGCTCAAAGAAAACTCCAATTATCAATTAATTCAGAAAAGTGGGAGGAATAAGCCATGAGTTTATGTTCAGAGCATAGATAAATAGAGACTCTGAAAACTTTGCTCTACCCAGAGCAACCATTGTGTTTTGTTATGGCTTCTTTTCTGATCTGCCATAAATATTTTAACCTACCTGAATCATGTCAGAGAACCTTCTCAGTAGTTGGATTCTGAGTAAATGGTTAAGGCTATGGGAAGTTATGATTTACCACAAGTCTAGTGTGAAGTCTCATGCTCTTAGCCTAAAATACCTCAAAGAACTGCTGCAGATAAAGCAAAAGTAACAGGAAAAGTATATACTACTTCTTAGAAAGGAACGAGATAACCATTTGTGAATAATATTCAATATATTTTAAAAATATCATATCTTTGCCTGTCCCAATATTGGCATATTTGTTTTTCAAAGACATACTGTATGCACAGGTGAGTGGTTTTCCAGATATTATTATGGCAAGAAATATGTGTATGTTGTAACAGAAAATAAATGTTTCTTCTGGGTACTTACTTTTCATAATTATTTGCAATAAGTCTGGATCAACACTCAACAGCTTCAAACTCTCTGGACCCTAATATAAATAAGACGTATTGTGATTTAAAGGTAAATGAAGATGAAAGTTTCTGGTTCTAACATCAATAGTTTCTGACACTGAGACCATTTTCTTGCAGAACATGAGAAAATCTGATATAAATTGTTTTAGAAAATAGAGTATACCTTTATAGTGCTATACCATTACATATATAGTTCTCATTGCTATCTATTTTTCTTCCATTCAATCATGCCTGATTCTCATTGACTGCCTGGACAAGTCCTTGCAGTTTTCTTGGCAAGGTTTTTCATAAGTAGTTTGCCATTGCTTGCTTCCTAGTGAAAAGAAACTAGTCAAAGGTCATCCAGATGGCTTTGTGCCTAAGGTGAGACTAGAACTCATAGGTTTCTGGTTTCTAGTTTGATGTCTTAACTACCACATCAACCTAGCTCTCACTTACGTTGCTATTCAGCAGAGGTGGGTTCCTACCAGTTCGCACCTATTCGGTAGAACCAGTTCATCAAATCTACTGAACCGGTTAGAAGAGGTTCCACCAGTGGACCCGGAAAGCAGACCACACCTACAGAAGAGGTTCCAAAATTTTTTGAAACCCACCACTGGTCCTTGGATATGATTATTCTGCACTACCATGCTCATATTTATAAAACTCAGTGCCTCTGTGAAAGGTAAGGATGACTACTGCGTTTGTGGTGCAATCAGAACATTTTAACGCAAACCAAAGATGCCTTTTAAAAAACAAGTTTACATCATATTCTTATGCATGCCAATGCTGTGTGTGAGGTAATTTAAGGTGGTTCTGACAAGTGTCGTCGGAATCTTCATATCCGGTCACATGGGCGGCAAGACACTCCCATCCAGTCACATGGGTGGCAAGACACTCCCACAAAGGAGGCCACACCCACAGAGTAAAAAAAAAAGAGTAGGTTCGAACAATTTTTGAAACCCACCACTGCTATTCAGATACATTAAAAGCAACATATGACAATGATATGCATTTGTATCTGATTTCATGATAAAGACTAAGAAGATAAGAGTTTTATTTGTGCATATTCATATTTGTGTACAGTGTTATCAAATGTATTATTATCTGCTTTGCTCCTTTTCTTTAAATTTGGACTGCTAACAGGGGTGAGTTGCTGCCAGCATGCGCAGAACATTAAAATAGAACTAAAAAACATGCTGGCAATGGCATGGGCAACCGGGGAACCGGTTTGGGGGCTTGGCCAGCCTGTCATCCCTACCAGTTTGGCAACCCAGTCACAATTTCCACTACCAGTTTGCCCGAACCCGTGTGAACCAGTAGCAACCCACCTCTGACTGCTAAGCAAGATCGCAGAAATGCAATCGTTCCACTGATCAACATAATCTAAGATATTGTTTGGATCTTTGTACTTACTTCTTAGCACTTGTCATTTCCCCCACTTAGTGTTTAAAATGCTACCACCAGCTATTCAATTTTTGCTACAGTGATGCCATGACAACTCTCACGTGACCTGCTGCAAACACACCACTGTTGTTAGAGCTTTGCTCAAGAAGGTTCCAGCTGATGACTCATACTCCTTGAAGGACTCCAGATTTAGATATATTTTCGGCTGTTTTAAGATGCATCGTGCCTACCAGCCAATTCTGCCGTGTGGCAATAAATACCTTCAGCAGAAGTGGGACAAAACTACTTACGAAGAGCATAAGAGAAAGGTAATCATAACTTTTTGATAACTTAAAAGCCATATGCACAAAGATAAACTTGTTGAAAGGAATAACTTTGTGGTCTGCAAAGGATAGGATCTGTTAGCCACCTCTTACCTTCCTGTTTATAGGTATTCTCTGCATGCCGTTCTTCTCAACTTTATATTTTAAACTAAATATAATTTTAGTACTCAAAATGTAGGTATAAAATCCCTTCCAAACTTAAAATACTTAGGGTAATACTTTTTTTTTTAACCCTAAGTAAAATGTAACATTTCCCAAAGTATGACTACTTTTTGTAACTTTGAATGGTTACTAAATGAACTATTGTAAGTCAAGGACTACCTGTATTCAACATTGGGCCGCAACATTGGGGACCACAGGCTTAGAGAAAATTCATAATCAATGTGTTGATCTGTTCCCTTCTGATAAAGGTGCTCTTTTATGACATTACAGTATAATTCATCTTGATTCTACAGCATTTAACTAATTATTTCTTAAGACTGATTATAGTTCTACTTTATCATTATTCTGTTCTTATTTAGGTCTTAGGCCTTTTAAGGTAAACGATAAATAGGCATCCTATAAATATATTGTTCTGGAGTGTGTCTTGTAAGAACAAATGTAAAAACTAGCTTTATGTCCATAATGAGCTACAAGATAGAAAATGGTTATACCTGTAGAGGACATAAAGAATCAAAGAGGAATAAATAGGTGCTAGATAGGGGCATGAAATAGAGAGTGACCATTGTAAGTGGAAGAGACTGGGATATCGAGTGAGCTAGAAATATGACGATGATGATGATGATGATGATGACAACGAAGACGAAGACGAAGAAGAAGACGAAGAAGAAGAAGAAGAAGAAGAAGAAGAAGAAGAAGAAGAAGAAGAAGAAGAAGAAATTTCTTGTATCTGTATGCAACGTTCATCTCAGTTCAAA